TTTTAGCAATTTAAAAATATTACAAAAGGATTTTTTACACGGCACCCCTGCTCTCGACAGACGGCACCCCAGTTGGGAAACACTGACCTAGACCATGCCAATCAATCCAATCTTGTTTTGAACATAGCCTGCCTCTCTCACAGAAGAACTGATTCTCTCTCCTTCAACAGAACAAAATAGGAGAGGTCGCCACCCAGTGGCCACAAGACGAATGGTTGCCCTGTATGACTACGACCCCAGAGAGAGCTCACCAAACGTGGATGTTGAGGTGTTAAACGCACTCGCATTTATTTATTTATACACTCACAGGTTCTCAATCTGCTGCATACGCGTGTCTGTAGAGTTACTGATTATGTGCTTTCTGTGGCAGGCTGAACTGACATTCTGTGCTGGCGATATCATTGCTGTTTTTGGGGATATAGATGAAGACGGCTTCTATTATGTAAGTCTCAGTGTTGTGCTGACCGCTCACGCTGCTTTATTCTGAGCCTGCAGCACTATTGTGTTTTGTTTTTTTGTCTTTCAGGGTGAGCTTAATGGACATCGGGGCTTGGTTCCATCCAATTTTCTCGAAGAAGTGCCTGATGACGTGGAGGTCTATCTGACGGACACTCCCTCCCACCGCGGTCAGGACGAGCCCAATCCGGTACTGGCACTGCGCCCAGAGACCAAACGGGTACACCATCGCCGTTCTCAGCGCTAGGCCCTGTGTCCATTCATCCTCCGTTTGAGTTTCGGTCCACTCGCCGTCTCTGTGTTTTCTTGTGCTTGTTTGTTTTTTCGTTATGTGACCGTGGTGGTGATTTCCAGTCCAACCTTTCTTGCTCTAGGAAAGGGAGAAGCAAAGCCCACTGCAAACAGAGCCTTTTTGAGAGCATAGAGAGACAGGTACGAACGTGACTCTATTAAGAAAGCGAATGTTCGTAGAGGGTCGCCAGAAGACTGTGGAAAAGGCCAAATTCCGTTCCTGCACCGGACTACGAATAAAGCATAAAGCATTTTTGCACTGAAACACAAAACCCTACTTAAGTGAAGCTGTTTGCATTAGTCAAAGTGCTTTGTGAAGTCCATAGGGTCTGTGGCTCGTGATTTGTGACCTTGTTAAAAGACTGATTTGGAAACTAGTTTGTAGTTGACGCATGCCTGTTTTTTTCCAGAACAGACCTGTAGCTTTGATATAAAAGTAAACTACATTACCCCAAATGTTGTATTTCAAAGGAGGCTTTGTTTCTTTTTGTATATTGCACATTGTCCAAAAACTCTATTTTTTTTTTAGATCATATGAACTAGCAGAACATTTATTACTCATTCCATCTCTTTCTGAGAGACTAAAATAATATCATTCATGATGTAATTACAATAAATCGAAATAAATTAAAAACTAAAACAAATATGTATTTTTGCTAGTAGACATTTAGTGAATACATATGTTTGTTTTTGTGTATGTGGTGGTGTTGTTTTTTTCTCCTCATAATTTTTTTTAATTTTTTTATGATGTTGCTGCATTCTAATTTCCTTTTTTCCCCACCGGCTTTGCCAAAAAAAGAAAAAAAAGCTGAGGAATATTGTTCATTTCCTGTCCTAGCAGACTTTTGTCTTGCTAGGTAAGTTGAGCAAACTGGCGATACCAGTGATCAGTCTCATGCATGGGATTTTATACGCAGCCTTTATGAAATTTTTGAATGCATTTTTATGGGTAAATTATATCATTGGGATGTAGCATTAGTTGAATAAGAATGATCTGTTGACGTCTAAAGATACATTTTGTTTTAGATTTTTCTGCTTAAAGGAATAGTTCACCTCCAGATGAAAATGTATTTACTCACCCTCTGGCCATCCAAGATGTAGAAGAATTTGTTTCTTCACTGTAACAGATTTGAAGGAAATTCCCTAAAGTGAATGGGTGCCATCATAATGATAGTCCAAACAGCTGATAAAAGCATAATAATACACAAGTAATCCACATGACTCCATTCTATGAACTAACGTCTTGTGAAGCGAAAAGTTGAGAATTTGTAATGAACAAATCCATCAAGACATTTTTAATGTCAAACCATTTAATTTGGGTAAAATACAGTACGAGTCCTCTTCATAATATTGCTTCCTCCAGTGAAAAGGTCATCTTGTCTGAATCAGGAGAGAAATATGCACAGATCAAGCACCATTTACACACGAAAACAGTCCTAAATAGTTCTAAACAAATATGTCTGGATTTTGCTGTGAGAAGACAACAGGGGATGGACCTCTTCACTGGAGTAAACGTTACTGTGGATTATGGACTCTTTGGCCAGAAGTGAAGTTTAAAGTTAAAATGCCTTAATGATGGATTTGTTTCTTACAAATACGCAGCTTTTGAAATTAATTGATGGACTGGAGTCATGTGGATTACTTGTGGATTATTGTGATGCTTTTATCAGCTGTTTGGACTCTCGTTCTTTATTTCCAAATTTACTGCAGAGGATCCATTGGTGAGCAAGTGATATAATGGATCCTCTGC